CTGTTGTCACTAGATTTGTTGAGTAAACCAAATATATATATATATATATCCTTAAACTGGGGTTAAAAAAAAAGAAGGAGATGTAAAGGATCAATATTAGATTTTCATATATAAGTGGAATATATTGAAATTTGATCTCCCTCAGACACACAGACAGCCACGAGTCCCAACTAAACAACAACAGAAAAAGGGAAAAGGGATTCCCCATATATTTATGCATGTAAGAGCCTTTACGACAAGCATGAATTAAACGTCAGTGGGAAAAATCAAGCTCAGTTCACTCGCTTTACTTCCCTGTCTGTTTTCTGGATACCTTCTATCGTTGGTGTGACTGTGGCTCTTATCGTAAACTCGAGCGGGGCAAAATGAAATCTCCATTAATGAGGACACCTCTTGATACGTTATAGCGCTTTGTACTTGCATATCTTTCTGTGCAACTGAGAATAATAATAGTAGTAGTAGTAGTAGTAGTAGTAGTAGTAGTAACAGTATACTTGCATAATACATGCATACTTACGCAAACTCCAAAAAGGAGAAGAAGACAACACAGCCCAGATCAAAACCTCCACCGTTGCTCGCGCAACTCGTAGACATCGAAACGCGTAGAACGCCCGCATCCCCAGACGCAACGACGAGACGGGGGACTGCCCCCGCAGTCAATAAACCGCGCGCGGACCGTGCAACGCCCCCGGCCCCCCGGGCACGGGCTGCCATAGAAATAATAATGAACTTTTGGGGCCCCATAGGCTCGGGAGCCGATGCGCCAGGGAGGAGAAACAGCGATAGCAATTGCGATCGGAGACGGGACGCCGCCCCTCCCGAGTCTCCTTATTTTATTTTATTCCTTGTTTTTTTTTTTAGAAACATATAACGAAAAAAAAATGCAGGCACACGCGCGTGCCGGCGCGTCTTTTCTTGTCCTTGCCGTTGGTTTCCTGCTGCTAGGCGCGTCACCCGCCTGCAAAAATAAAAAAATAAAAATGCGCACGCGTATACGCGAAAGGCATCCTCCGCGTTCCTTGCGGCAAAACCCGACGTGGACACCAGAAAATGGTTTCAAAGAATCACAAAAAAAAAGACAACAACAATAATAATAATGGTCTTGAAGAATGATGTGTGAATAACGGGGAAAAAACCTTGGAGAAGTTGGGTATCGATCCCAATACCTCCCGCATGCTAAGCGGGCGCTCTACCATCTGAGCTACATCCCCACGGCGAACGGGAACCGTCCTACGAATTATTAGATAAAGAACACTGATGCAAAAAACCAAGGGGGAAAAACTCGCAAACGGTAGGGTTCGAACCTACGCGTGAGATCACACCTGCTTAGCAGGCAGGCGCCTTAACCACTCGGCCACGTTTGCACGTGGTCCGGCCGTCGAACTATGAAAGAGAATAGCCCAGTTGTTTTTTTTTAATTGTCAGTTGTTTTCACAGAGCTCCTTCTATGTGCTTTGGAGCGCCGCGCGGTCCTTCATTCTTGTTTCAGTGGTAACCGTTGGCGCGCGTGCTCGTCTAAAGTTCTGAGAGATGTGGGTTCGATTTTGGTTTGAAGGCTCTTCGGTTTTCCCCCCAGAACTAAAAAGTTTTTTTTCTTCCTTTTTTCCTTTGGAAACATGATCCTTCTTCCTCCGAATTTGCCGCGGCATTTTCCTCCTGATGTATGCCATAAGTTGTGCGAGGATGATGCTGCGCGCGCCGAAGTGTGGCTGAACCTCTCGCGCCGTGGACTCTTCACTGGCGGTTTCTCCGGCTTTGCGGAGACGCGGAATCAAATCCGGGTCCTGTTCTGCGGATCGCTCGGTGGAACGCTGGCGGTCTCAAGCGTAAGAAGCGGATCCCTCTTTCGGAGAAGCGGTTGAAGGAGAGGCAAGT